CTTTCTTTCTTTCTTTCTTTCTTTCTTTCTTTCTTTCTTTCTTCCTTTCCTTTCTTTCTCTTTCTTTCTTTCTTTTTTCTCTGTCCTTCCTTCCTTCCTTCTTTGTCTCTCAATGCTTTAGTCACTCCTGTCCCTCTGTCTCCTCAACATGCTCAACTCTCCCCTGTTCTAGACACCACATCCTGTCCTTCCCATCCTAGCCAAACATCCCCAAGGAGAAGGAAGTAGCTGCTTCCTCCCCCAGCTCCCACCCCACTCTTTGAGCCCTCCCAAGTTTGCCATCTGCCCTTCTCCCTCCAGGGGCCCAGGCTGTCTGCCTGTCTGGGCTTTCAGTCCTCCATGTCTCTATGGCATGACACACTGGGCACTGACCAGTCTCTCCTTCCCACTTGCACTTCGGTTACTTCTGAAGACACTATACTTGCCTGGAGCTCCCACCCGTCTCTCACCTTCCTTTGGAAGCTTTCCAGCCCCCCCCCCCCATGAGCTCTTTTATCACATGGCTGTCTCCTCCTGCTCAAGCTTTGATGATTGCCTCCTCACCTGTGGCATTGGTGACCCTGTTTAGCTCTGAATCTGTGTCCCTCCTTGACCTCTCTTCCAGGCTTCAGTCCAAGCTTTTGTGTGTGTTCATTTCAGAACATTCCCCCCACAGGACATCCCAGAGTGCTGAATGTGGGTGCAGCTGCAGGCAGGGTGCAATGGGGCTGCACACATGAATGTGTGTGAGCTCTGGGACCCATAGCGGGTCAGGGGAAGTGGACATCCTTCAAATAGCTTTCTTTACTTCCTGGCAGGAAGTGGCCACTGCAGTGAGGGCTGGAGACAGTAGCCCAGGTAGCTCCACTAGGGAGTCCTTCAGTTACCCCCAGTTCAATCTTTTTTTTTTTTTTTTTGAGATGGAGTTTCACTCTTGCTGCCCAGGCTGGCGTGCAATGGTGCGATCTCAGCTCACCACAACCTCCGCCTCCTGGGTTCAAGTGATTCTCCTGCCTCAGTCTCCCGAGTAGCTGGGATTGCAGGCATGTGCCACCATACCCAGCTAATTTTGTATTTTTAGTAGAGATGGGGTTTCTCCACGTTGGTCAGGCTGGTCTCAAACTCCCAACGTCAGGTGAGCCTCCTGCCTTGGCCTCCCAAAGTGCTGAGATTGTTGCTTTGCACACAGTAGGTGCTCAATAAAGACTTGTGCAGGGAATGCCTGGGCTCTGTTCATTTGTCCAGTTCATGAGGGACCTGTCCCTGACTGAAGCTTTCTGTCCCTGACCAATGCTCCCCACCCCCCTCCATTCCCCACACCACCTGGCGCCTGGCCGGCACCTGCAGCCTCCAGTAGCCTGCTCAGACTGTGAGGATTTTTTGAAGTGTTTATCTCCCTTCTGACCCGGAGCTTTCAGGCCTCATCTCTTCTGATCCAAAAGGTCCCCTGGCAGGTTCCTGGCACCCAGTAGGCATTATTAAATGAAGACTGAATGAATCTTTGTATCTCAACACCCGTACGGTGCCAGGCGCGGAGCACAGGCTAGTCGAATACATGAATGAGAACTTGCTGTATATAAACTTCACTTGTCACTGGCCACAGTCAAGGCCCTTTCGAGTCCCTCCTCAGTGAAATGTTAATATTCAGAGCATTCACTGCTCTGCTGACAGGCCGTAGGCAGAGGAGCCTGAAGCCTAAGGGTTAAGCATGTGGTTAAGTGCAATTAGAAAATTAGATGTCTTGGAGGAAAAGGATTAGACTTACGGAGATGCTGCTGACTCGCGGTGTTTCCTCCGTGTGGGGCTAGGACCTGGCTTGTCCTCAGGCTGCCAGGCTCAGCGTGGAAGGGCTCAGGTGTGGGGTCTCAGGCACAGCTGACATGCACCTTTTCCACGTCGGAGCCTCTGTATTCGGAAACAAACACCCCGGAAAGGCAGCAGGCCCCATTTCATCCTGCGAGCCCTGGGGTCTTTGGAGGACAGTGCAGTTGGAGCTGCTGCCTTAGGTAACCAGCGACCGGTGGAGCATAGACCCTTCGGGATGGCTGGCTCTGCCCGAGGTGCGTTCGCGCTGGTCTGCGATCTTCAAGCTTATCTCCCCTTGTTGTCTCCGCAGGCTGCCCGGTGCCCGGAGGAGGCTGCTGAGCCCCGGGCCATGGTCCCCTCTCGCAGGACGTGGAACCTGGGAGCCACGCCCTCGCTGCGGGGCCTGTGGAGAGTGGGCCGGGCCCCGGAGCCCGAGCCGGGGATGGCCCGCCCCGCCCCAGCCCCAGCCAGCCCGGCTGCCCGCCCTTTCCCACACACCGGCCCGGGGAGGTTGAGAACTGGTGAGTCCGCATTTTTAAAATGCCTCTTTATTTCCCTTCCTTCCTCCAGATACCAGAGATGAGACTGAGGTTTCTCACCGGTTCCTAAGCCCAGTCAGAGCTGTCAGGTAATTACAGGGTAACCGACAGCCCAGAGCCGGACGGGCGTGGAGCTGGAGCGTCAGTCTCGCCGGGCGCTCCTTCCCTGCGCCCCTGTCTGGAAAGAGGAGACCTGGAGGCCGGGTTAAACTTTAACATGGGCGGGCGCAGAGCAGGGGGACCAGCCGCCTTTCCTCTGGCCTAGCTGGTCAGAGCTCTGCGGGCCGCCGTCCTTGCCTGAGAGCGCGTGGTCGCTCCGATCTCTGCCCAGGCTGGTAAACAAGGTAGGTGAAGCGGCTGCCCGGGCACCGAGCGCGCCGCTGACACTTGATCCTGCCTGGGCTGGTCCCTGGACGGCTGGGGAGTGGACTGAGGCTGCTCGGGAGCGTGGCCTGGCGGGGGCTTCGGGGTCATGTGCTAATTTCAGGTGCTTCTGTAGAGACCCTGACAGCAGGTGGGCAGGGGTCCCAGAGTCTTGGCCCCCACTGTTCCCTCAGGGAGCTGTCAGTGCCAGCTCCCCTTTCTGGGTCATGTCCCCCAGTGCTGCGAACAAGAAGTGAGCGGCTCCTCTGATTCCGGGCGGGGACTGGATTGTCAGGGCTGGGGAGCTGCCTGTGACCCTTTCCCAAGGCGTGGGCAGGTCGTCCTGGTAGTGTGGGGGAGAGAGGGCTCTCCAGACAAGGCGCCTTCAGGGGTCTGCTGCCTGTCCCTTCTGACCTACAGGGACGGAATCTAGACTGCCAGCCTGTCAGAGCTAGCAGAGTCCCTCTGGGCCATCAGGTCCAAGCCCCTTGGCACACAAAAGGGGAAACTGAGGCCCAGAGAGGCACACAGCAAACTCCTATTCACCCCTCTCTCCCACCACGTTTGTGCTGTCCACGGCAGCTGGACTGATGCCTTCCGAGGTCTCTCTGCTTCCATGGTTGTCTGGGGCTGGCTGCTCCCAACAGCACAGCCAGGCTGGGGATGACCCGGAGGGGGGGGGCGGGGCTTGGGAAAAGCGTGGGCATTTGGTCCAGGTAACCCAGAGGATGGCCTCTACCCCATAAGGTTGTCCTAAGGATAACAAACGTAATATGAATGAGTATTGTTTTTCTGGTAAAACAGAAACATTTTCCCTTAGAAAACTTCAAAACACATAGAAAAATATCAAAAAGGAAATAAAAATCACAAGCTAGTCACTGAATATTTTATGTAGTGCCTTCCAGCCGTGTGTGTGTGTGTGTGTGTGTGTGTGTGCGCATATAGGTTTTTGAAATATTGTGTTCTGTCAGCTTTCCAACCTGAAGGAAAAAAATTGGGTATTGTGAAGATAATATGACCATACAGACTTTTATCCACTTTAAAAATTTAAGACAAAGGTTGAATGAAATCCTGTGTGTGAAATGGAAGCGTCATGCCTGCCACTGGGCCTCAGACAGGTCAGCTGCCCCAGGCCCCTCTGAGCCCCCCAACCAACCCCCATATTGCCACCCTGAGAGTCGGCTGGCAGAGGGTTGGTCAGCACATGGGATTTCAATCCTGGCTTCAATCCCAGTGACCCTGGGCACATTGTTAACCCTCCTGGGCTTCCGGTTCTTTGACTGTGAGGTGGGGAGAATGCTCCCCCCCACCTCCCTGGGGAGTTGTGAGGAGCTGATGGCAACTGTAGTCTATTGGCCTGTACTGAGGGCCCTTCCTGTGTGCCTGGCACTACATGGGTACCCCATGTATCTCATGCCATTTGATCCTTGTGAAGTTGTCCTCATTTTATTAACAAGCAAACTGAGGATCAAGAAGGTGTGTAAAGGCCGGGTGCAGTAGCTCACCCTGTAATCCCAGCACTTTGGGAGGCCAAGGCAGGCAGATCACTTGAGGTCAGGAGTTTGAGAACAGCGTGACCAACATGGTGAAATCCCGTCTCTACTAAAAATACAAAAATTAGCTGGGTATGGTGGTGCACGCCTGTAGTCCCAGCTACTTGGGAGGCTGAGGTATGAGAATTGCTTGAGCCCAGGAGGCGGAGGGTGCAGTGAGCCAAGATCACGCTACTGTCCTCCAGCCTGGGTGACAGAGAGAGACCCTGTCTCAAAAAACAAACAAAACAAAAGGTGTGTAAGGCCTGAAAAGCACTTGGCCCAGTGGCTGGCAGTCAGGATATTGTTACGTCTCAGGGCAGAGGCTCTGCATTTGCCTTGTGAGGCCAGCCCCCATCCCATCCTGCTCAGCCCTGCAGGTGGAGGTGGGTGGCTGGGACATTGCTGTCGCAGCCTGCCCTCTCTCCCACTGGTGAGGGAGGCAGTGTGTCAGAGGCTTGAGGGGACACGCGCTAGCTGGTTCTGAATTTGCTTGCCGAGGCAATGGAGACTGGGCCACCTGGTGTGGATTTGGTCTTAATGAAGTCAGGGGAGAAATTGCCACCTAGAGGCAGCCAGGGTAATAAAGCCATAGCCTCTGTGCAAGTCCTCTAAGCTTTGGGCAGGCTGGCTGGCATCGGCTTCTTTCCGCTGCCTTGTTAAGCAATGCCTGCCCCCACCAAAAAAAAGCCACTGTGGGAATAGGGGAGCCTGCGGTAGGGTGTTGAGTCCCCTCCAGAAGAGAATCTTGGGGCGGCTTTTGGTAAAGAAGGTGTGTGGCCCCTGCCCTGAGCCAGGCCTTTCCCTGTGCTGTGTGGGGCAGGCGTGTGAGGGTGTGTGAGCCCCTCCTGGCCACATCTGAGCCAGCTGGGTATGTGTGAATGCTCAGCTGCAGCCCTGGCCAGTGGTCCGTGGCTTGCAGTCTTCAGCTAGCGGTCGGAGTGTCTCACCTATCTCTCTGTTCTGGGACAGGGCGTGGAAAAGATACCCCAGTCTGCGGTGACGAGGACTCCAGTGCCCGAAGTGCAGCTCGCCCGGCCCTAGCTCAGTGCCGAGCCCTCAGTGTGGACTGGGCTGGCCCCGGGAGCCCCCACGGGCTCTACCTGACCCTGCAGGTAAGCACTGGAGCCTTCCGGGCTGGGGGTACCTTGGCCTCCAGTGGCTGGGTTCCTGCCAGGCTCCTGGGGGTAGGAAGCACCAGGGGAGAGCTGGGGACCTGCCTCACACTTCTGGTGACCCTCACACCCTGGTGACCCATCTGCCTGTGAGCTGCTTTATTAAGTCAGCTAGGGGAAATTTCACAGGAGCTGACAGCTTTTCAGCCACACCCTGGCTGAGGTGTTAAAGTGGGAAGCATGGGGCCTTCGCCGAGATGGGCAGAGCTTGGAGAAGGTGTTGGGAAAACAGGCAGCTTTGTGTAGTTGATTATTCTCAAACATGGTTATGTGAGTATTTCCTTGGAAGTATTTCCTTGTTTGAAGTGGGAATTCAAAGCCAGATGGGGGATTCACTAAAACTTGGGGTCTTCTCCCTTGCAGTTATTACCAAGTGACTGTAAAAAGACAAAGTAAGGCTGGGCGTGGTGGCTCAGGCCTGTAATCTCAGCACTTTGGGAGGCTGAGGTTGGAGGATACTTAAGCCCAGGAGTTCACAACCAGCCTGGACAATATAGTGATACTCCATCTCTACAAAAACAAAAATAAAAAATTAGCCAGACATGATGGTTCCTACAGTCCCTGCTACTCAGGAGGCTAGGATGGGAGGATCGCCTGCGCCCAGGAGGTTGAGGCTGCAATGTGCTGTGATTGGACCACTGCACTCTAGCCTGGGTGACAGAGTGAGACCCTGTCTCAAAAAAAAAAAAAAAAAAAAAAAAAAAAAAAAAAAAAAAAAAAAAGACAAACTTTACATATATGTGTGTATTTGGCTATAGAAATAATAGACAATATTAATAGTAATAATAGCTACTATTTATCAAACACGGACTTTGTGCCAGGCTTTACAGATCTCCTATCAGCCCTCATAATACTCCTAACAACCTCAGGAAACAAGATTTGATCTGAACTTTGTAGATGAGGATGTGGAGGCTCAGAAAGGTTAAGTCACTCGCTGCTGGTCACACATTCCACCATTCAACACAACTAGCCTTATAACATTTGTAAAGAATTGACACAGGGCAGAGATACAGTTACCCAGAAACGGCCTCTTGTAGTCTTCTATCTTTGAGAAATCCACTATTAAGTATTTGGTGTTTATTTATTTATCTTTTCTATATAGAACCCCTTGATTATATTTATATGATTTTTATTTCTGAGATGGAGTCTCATTCACTCTGTTGCTCAGGCTGGAGTGCAGTGGTGTGATCTTGGCTGCAACCTCTGCCTCCTGGATTCAAGTGATTCTCCTGCCTCAGCCCCCCAAGTAGTTGGGATTGCAGGTGTGCGCCACCATGCCTGGCTAATTTTTGTATTTTTGGTAGCGACAGTGTTTCACCATGTTGGCCAGGCTGGTTTTGAACTTTTTTTTTTTTTTTTGGAGATGGAATCTTGTTCTGTCACCCAGGCTGGAGTGCAATAGCACGGTCTCAGCTCATTGAAACCTCTGCCTCCTGGATTCAAGTGATTCTTTTGTCTCAGCCTCCCGAGTAGCTGGGATTACAGGCGTGCGCCACCATGCCCAGCTAATTTTTGTATTTTTAGTAGAGATGGGGTTTCACCATGTTGGCCAGACTGGTCATGAACTCTTGACCTTAAGTGATCTGCCTACCTCAGCCTCCCAAAGTGCTGGGATTATAGGTTTGAGCCACAGTGCCTGGCCATATTTATATGATTTAAAAAAAATTTTTTGAGACAGAGTCTCGCTCTGCCGCCCAGGTTGGA